AGATCAAATGATGGGGTGCTGAATTTTAACCTAACTGCATCTACAACAATCCACTTTCCAGTGATTCTGCATGTTAGCAAGGCTATTCACATCCCTAGTTTGTGGTCAGGGGGGATTCACCAGGGGCTTAAACCACTTATATTTTCCCTTGTTTTCTTTTCTTTTTTTTTAAGTTAAAAAAAAACAAACGTAAAAATGGGTCCAAAAGGCAAATGATAAGGTGGTACATTTTCACCTAACTACTCCTGCCGTAATTGGCTTTACAATGCTCTCTGCCAGGGGTTCACAGTTTAAGCTCTGAGACTGTACCCTCCTTTAGATTTTGTGTTATTGTTAGATGCCATTGAGTCAGTGCTAACTGATAGGGACCCTGTGCCCAACAGGACAAAATATGGTGCCACCCTCACTATTGTTCTTATGCCTGAGCCCATTGATGTCCCACTGTGTCAATCCATCTTGTCAAGGGCCTGCCTCTTTCTTTGCTGCTCTTCCACTTTACCAAATATGATGTCCTTCTCCAGGATTGGTCTCTCCTGACAATATGTACAAAGTATGTAAGTCTTGCCATGCTTGCCTCTAAAGAGCGCTCTGGCCTTATTTCTTCCAGTACAGATCAGCTTGCCCTTTTGGCAGTCCATGGTACTTTTATTATTCTTCTCTAGCACCACAATTCAAATGCATCCATTCTTCTACAGTCATCCTTATTAAATGTCCAACTTTTACAAGGACGTGAGGCAATAAAGAATACTATGGCTTGGGTCGGGCATACCTTAATCCTCAAAGTAACATCCTCACTCTTCACTACTCTAAAAAGGTCTTGTGCAGCAAATTTACCTAACAGTATGTCTGTTGATCTCTTGACTGCTGCTTCTATGAGCATTGATTGCAGATCCCAGCAAGACAAAATCCTTGACAACTTCAACCTTTTCTCCATTTATCATGATGTTACCTATTGGTCTGGTTGTGAGGATTTTGTTGTTCTTACATCGTGTTATAATCCACACTGAAGGCTGCAATCCTTCATCTTCATCAGCAAGTGCTTCAAGTCTTCCTCACTTTCTGAAAGCAAGGTGTGTCATTTGCATATTCCAGGTTGTTGTAAATCATCCCCAAATCCTGATGTCACATTCTTCTTCATATAATCCAGCTTCTCTGATTTGGATTTGGATTATATTACTTCTCTGATTTGGATTTGGATTATATTACTTACAATCCTTGGATCACACAGGCTGGTGAGCTTCCATATAGACATAGTGGAGGCATCACTTAGATGGCTACTTGTTTGAAGACAAGCCTTTAAGACCCCAGATGCTATTCTTTCTAAAAACTAGGCACCATCTAGTTTCTTCACCACACTTTGCTATAGAACCCATATCTTTCGGAAACCTTTCATGAGGGTAAGCATCAAGCAGGGGCATATCATAAGACCTAAGTGTTCTTAGATTAGGGCTAGAATTGAGTGCAAGCCCAAAATCCATTCATGCATCTTTGGTTTTAATATGACTCTAGTTCATTTTAGAGACATCATTGTCATTTTATGCTAGAGAACATTATCAGCCATCACTTCCACTGCCATCAAGTCAATGCTGCCTCATAGCGACCCTATAGATGGTGCCGAGAGAAAGATGACTGCCTCTTCCCGCAAAGATTTACAGTCTCAAACTCTTGAGGGAAGCAGTTCTACTCTATCCTCTAGGATTGCTATGAAGTGGAATCAACTCAGTGGAAGTGGGTTTGGGTATCCATTCATGCCTTTATTCCCCACTAGACCATAAAAATCAGAATCCTTCTTTTCCTTGTTCTCCTCCATCACTATCACCTTCCTCTTAGATAGCAGTCATGGAACATTTCCCTAGTGACAAGTACTATGAAGCGTTTTACATGAATGGTCTCATTTAAATTTCCCTTGACTGAAAGACACAGATACCAGCGCATTCTTAAATAGGTTCTTTGAGGTTCTGTCCAATATGCAACACTCAGTAAATACCTGTTAAATTAATAAATCCCAGCTCCATGAGGAGTTACTGTTGTTAGGTGCTGTTGAGTTGGTGCCGACTCTTAGTGCACACCAGAACAAAACACCACCTGGTCCTGCGCCCTCCTCACAGTTGTTCTTATGTTTGAGCCCGTTGTTGCAGTCAGAAGTGACCAGAGACTTGATGAGCTGTAGAGAATAACAAGAACACCCTTCCTACATGAAGAAAGAAAAATGTCATTAAAAAGACAGGAAAGAATAAAGTGGAGGTCAGAAGAAACTCTGAAACTTGCTCTTAATTATAGAGTCGCTAAGGCAGATGGAAGAAATGATGAATGCAGAGAGCTGAACAGAGAATTCCAAAGGGCGGCCTGAGGAAACTAAGTAAAAGTGTATAATGACACAGACACCCAAAGCTAGAAAACCAAGAGGGAAGACCCTGTGAGGTAGATCCTGTTACTTGCCCCATCCTGAGGATTTAATGATTTCTTCTTCTTTTTAATTGTTGGATCATTTTATTGGGGGCTCTTACAATTCTTATTATAATCCATACATTGATTGCATCAAGAATATTTGTACATATGTTGCCATCATTCTTTCCTAGACATTTACTTTCCATTGAGCCTTTGGTGTCGGCTCCTTTTTTTCCCTCCCTGCCTCCCCCTCACGACCCCCTGATATATTATAAAAAGATCTAATGATTTAACTGAGATTGATATGATGGTGGTGGTGGTGGCAGAGGCCATTACTTACATAACGTCCTAGGTTCTGTTTCTAATCATGTAACATACATCAACTCTTAATTTTCACCACATTCTTATAAAATACACATTGAGGGAACAAAAGCTCACAAAGATTAAATAACTTGTTCAAAGTTATAGTTACTAAGTGACCAATTAAGTAATTTATCATCGTTCTATAGGGGATAGGTGACAGAGCCAGGTTTTGAACCCAGGTATGACTGACTCCAGACCCATGGCATTACTATATAACTTTGTTAACTCTTGTATGCACACATTTTCACTCAGTCGATGAATGACTTAATCCTATTGCTAATTGACATTGTATGCCCCACTAGAAAAAGGCAGTTATCTGTCTGAAATCCTTTTTGGCAGACCTACCATCAAAATGACTTCTTAATTTGTGGTTTTCAGCTAATGAAATTACATGAGCTGTTTCTTGTCATTCGCAGAGTCAGCGGTTTCAAGAAAGCTTGAAAAAAGTGGACCACATCAAAATCCTGGTATAGTATCTCATTTAATCTGTTCTTGAAATAAATAACTTTTAGCTCAACAACTTAGCCTGTTTTTACAACTCCAGTGTCTTCAACAACTCCAGCAAAACCACATTGTACAGAGAATCATATACCTGTATTCATAACTTTATTGAATAGTTAGTCTGAAGCCTAGACCTATGTGTGGTGAGCTGTCAATGAGCTGGTTCCAACTAACTGCAACCATAGGGACAACTGAACAGAATACCACATGGTCCTGAGTCTTCCTCACAATTGTTATGTTTGAGCTTCTTGTCAAAGCCTCTTTGTCAATCCATCTTATCAACTATCTTCTGCTTTTTCAACCGGAGGGGCTCATCTTCTAGTACTATCTCTGACAATGTTCTGTCCATAACGTTTTTGGTAAATAATTCCTCTGAAGTGGCCAACCTATTCCTTCTTCGTGGTCTGTTCTTAGTTTGGAAGCCCTACTGAAACCTGTTCTAGACAATTTAAGTATTGAACAGTATATATTTAAACCCCCAAAGTGCTTTTCATATACATTGTTTGGAGTTTTATTCTGTTAACAGTTTACAATTGCACAAAGAAGTTGGAATTTGAATCAGGATTGCATTATGTTTATAGATTCCTTTTGGGAGCATTGACATTTTCACAATGTTATGTACTGTTAACCCATGAACACGAAATGTTTTCCATTTATGTACTGCTAAGTCACTAAGTCAGAACCAACTCGATGGCAGTGGGTCTGGGGTTTGGTTTGTTTTGGTAGATCTCTTTTAGTTGTTGCAGTAATGTTCTATAGCATTCCATGGGTAAGTTTACTCATAGTTACTTTAGGATGCTGGTGGTGTAGTGGGTTACAAATTGGGCTGCTAACCACAAGATAAGCAGTTCGACACCACCAGCTGCTATATGGGAAAAAGTTAAGGCTTTTTACTCCCATGAAGAGTTGCAGTCCTATTAGGATACTGTGAGAGTTGGCATCAACGTGATGGCAGTGAATTGTGTCTTATAATGGATTTTGACTTAAAGTCTATTTTATCAGAGATTATTATTGCTGCTCTTGCACTCTTTGGTTACTGTTAGCTGGTAAACTTTTTTCCATCCTTTGATCTTTAACCTATTTCTGTCATGTCTCAGGTTTGTCTCTTGTAGGCAATAGAATGATGGGTCTTTATTTTTTTTAAAATCCACTTGCCACTCTCTGTTCTTAACTGGTAGTATTTATGTAAGATTCAATGTGATTATCTGTAGATATGAATGTATTACTGGCATTTTGTTGACTTTTGGGTAGTGTTTACAGTTTTTTGATTTTCTTAATTTTTTGTGCTGTTTTCTTTGTTTATGGGTTTTCAATTTTTGTCATTTGTTATTGATTTTATGTTTACTGAGTCTTTATTTTCTTCCTTATTTTGGCGAGTCAATTTACTGACTTCCATTTATAGCCATGTTTCTGTTTGGTGCCATCCAGCTAGTTCCGGCCGATAGTGACTCTGTGCACAACCTTAGGAGGAGACAGCAACCAGTGCTGTGCATCCTCACGGTGGTTTCTAAGCTGGAGCTGATTGTGGCAGCTACTGTGTAGTCCGTCTTGTTGAGGGCTTTCCTCTTCCCTCTTTCCTCCACCTTACCGAGCATGGTCTTCTTCTCCTGACAACACGTCCGCAGTATGTGAGATGAAGTCTCACATCCTTGCCTCTGAGGAGCGCTCAGGCTGTGCTTCTAAGACAGACTGGCTTAGCCATATTTCTCTTTTAACAGT